ATTTTTGCCATGTTTAAATTCATAGGAACCTCCAGGGGTCTTTGAAAAAGCACAAGGTCAAAATAAAAACTGCAATATACTGCAGATTTACAAGTGATTTTTCTTTTCTGTTTACTTATTAGGATCAGAGCATAAGCATTAGTTGATTAAAACCGCATCATTTCTCTGTCCTCAGGGCATACAGTATTTTTAATGTCTGTTCTTAGAATTATGTTTATAGCTGTGGATGTTCACACGTTGGTGGTACTTTTAATACATTAAAATTTTTTAGTATATAGGAAAAAAATTATTAATATTCTACATGGGGTGGAAAGTTTCCAGTCACTCTAAGCTGCTAGATGCCATCACTTTTCAGAACTGATGCGGTCAGAACTAGTAAATATTGTTCTTTTTTACAACCTAAAATATTTGCAGTCTTGACTAAGCCAAACAACTGTGTTCCACTGTTCTTTCAACAAAGAAAGGAGAAGCCAAAGTGTGGCACCACATGGCCAGCAACTCCTTTCAGAGTCAGGCACCAGGAACCACAGAGGATCCCTCTGAGGCAGAAGACAGCGCCTGGCAGCCCATTCCAGGAGCTGGACAGCTTGGGGGACTCTGGGGCAGCCCCAACCCCAGGCACTGGGCACCTTCCTGAGGTCTGGGACAGGCTAAGGCCGGGCCAGGGTGTCAGCCTGGGTGTGCACCTGGTTTAGTGGGGCCCATGGCTGGGCAGGGCTGTGGGGAGCTGGAGACCAGCACCAGTGTGGCAGTGCTGGGACAGGGACTGGCTCTGGGAGCTGACATGGGGTCCTGGACTGTGGGCTGAGGGGGGAAAGTCCCAGAGGGATCCCAGAGGGACCTCTGGGTCAGTGTCCCCAGCCATGAGAGGCTGCTCTAGGAGGAACAGCAAGCTGGGAGCCAAGAGTGGTCCTGGCACACACACTGACTTTGCCAACAGGACACAGTCCTGCAGCATCTCAGCAGGACTGGGTTGGTGATATTGAGAGTCCCAGCAAGCCAAGGAATCAAATCAGGTCCAGGCAGGAAGAGTGAGAGACACCTGAAGACAAGACTACAATTTAGGTCCGAGGTCTGTCAAGGAGGCAGGACCAGAGAGAAGACCAGAGACAACGCAACCTTCCACATAGGTTTGGAGACTACCCAGGAAAACCAGCAAGACGGTGCTGCAGGAATCAGGCTGGGAACGAGTTCAACTTTCAAATAGCTCTGGATGGGTTTAGGTGCCCAGGCCTGAGCTGACTCAGGGCTCCAGAGCTGTTGCAGAGGGTGTGTGGTGCTGGGGCGGGCAGGTTGGCCAAGGCAGAGCCCTGACAGAGTGAAACAGCTAAACAGTGATTGCAGACTTGTAGGCAGTTACAATGTAAGCAGCAGCATCTTGCTTAGAGCATAACTTTTCAGCGTGAAGCCAGTGCCAATGTGGTTAGCAACAGTCCTTTTTTTCCCTAAACTCCTACTCTTGATGTTCCTGGCTCAGAACGTGCAAACCAAGTCTCGAAGCCCAGGAGGCAGTGCATCCAGACCTGGAGCTCCCTTCAGGCTGAAGTCGTATGTTCTGTCCTGTTTCCTTGAAGACTATCAGACCTTGGACAAGCGGAGTCCCTTGCTTCTCTCATTCAGAGTTTAAGCCCAGAAACCATATATTAAGCAGTTCTTATTTGTTTTGAAATCTGCTCAGAACGTTTGTGGCTTCAGTGTCAGCCTTGCCATTTCTTTGGTCTGCAATCTTTTCTAGTTGCCATTTCTGATCCCTTAGAAATAGCTGGGAAGATATTTATTCTTTCCATTAGCACTTTCTGAACTACCACTGCTGCCACAGAGCAGTCGACTTCCCAAAGCTTCTAATGCCAATATCTACAGGCATGCTCTTTTTCCTACTAAATAAAAGGTAATTCAAAATACTTTGCGCTCAGTGAAAGACCAGTTAAACAAATTACCCTTCCTCTAGTTTAAGAGCCTGAAACACAATTACTTTGGAGTAGCTAATGCAGGGTAGCCCATTAGCAAAGGTAAGTAGCATAAAGATACCTTTAGTACACCAAATGAATGAATATGATTTGGTTTCTGAAAACTCACTGAAATTACTTGAATCTTGGGTCTACTTATCTGCCCACCACTAAAACTATTATTCCTTTGCTTAGTCCACACACAGTGATACTTAAAAAGTAATGCTGAAGTTGGAATAAAAGTGAGGGAGAGGGAGGTTGCAAGAGAATACACAGTAAAGGTTGCAACAAATCACCCCAGCAGTGCTGTCATTAAAGAGGAGATACGCATCCCCACTCTTTTCCTGCTAACCAGATCATGACATGAAAAGTAGGGACTCCTCTGTTGTGCTCTGAATCATACTAGGTCATCAAGATTAGTTGTGAGAAAACAGAGATTAAGCTGGAAGAGGATTTTAATTCTGTTGCTCAAAATTGACAAGCTGCCTCTGGACAGTGTCAGTGCATGAAACAACTACGGCTTGTACTCACTGCCTGGAAATCGGGTGTAGAATATACTCATGGCAGCTAAGAGACTTGGTCCAAAAGAAGACAGAGATTCCTTTGGTGATACTTTTGTTTTGCTAGATGGCTTTGTATGCATCTGTGTATCTACTCTCCCTGCAGGATGGGTGGGCGTTGAGGTGCTGTTTTCAGATCTGGGAAGGATCAGTGGGATTGTATGGAGCACACAGTAAGGAACCCTGAGCTTGCACCGCAACCTTGGCCCCCATCCTTATGAGTTACCCTCAGAGATTAGCAAGATTTTGGTGTATTATGAAATGACAGAGTTGTGCCCCACAACTGATATGATAAGTAGATAAGAATGTGTGTCTTCTCTATGGTCCCCAAAAAAGGAAGACAGTCCTCATGAATGCCAGGCAATATTACCCCAGATGTCTTGGACAGCAATGAGGGGACAGTCTAACCATCAGATTGTTTTGTGGATTGTAGCAACTGTGGTAGTGTGGCACTTGCTGACAGTAAATTGCTAAGCTACACAGCATATGTTGTGGCTAGCTTCCACAGGAGATAGGATGGGATAGCGGCCCAGAATAGGTGTGCTGCCACCCTCAGGACCTGTCCTAGCTTGTGGCTTTCTTCTTTATGAAATTTGTCATTAGCTCTTGGCTAGGAAATTACATGATCCCACTGCTGAGAAATGGCAAGCCTGAACACAGGGGTAGCAGCCTCCAGCAACTTGGCCTGGCTTACACTGTACTGGAGTCTCTCTTAACACTGACCAAAGTGGTGAAGAGCTCCATGTCTGACTTGGCAACACTGACTTGTGCCTTCTCCCTTGCCTATGCCTCAGGGGAATGTGCAGCTCCCTTGTTCATCAGCCTTGAAATTCAGTAAACTGCCTGGGCCTTCATTTTCATTTAGTCAGATTGGTATGGACACCAAAAAGTGGTGCTGGTTGGTGGTTCTTAGGGCTGCAGGGTGAATTACAGATGTGAGCAGTGTGCCAGAAGGACGTGACTGGATGAAGCACGGGCAGCCCCCATTCCCAAAGGAATTCCGTGCAATGCAGTGTGAAGTTGTCTAGGGCACTCTGTGATGGGTGCTTCAGCTTGTCCCCTCACTGAGACACCCCTAAGGATACTCCTATCCTAAACAGGATAGATGTATCTGATGGGATTCCTTACTTACACAAGATCTAAGTACTAACACATCTGCAAGGTCAGGATTTAGATTGTATTTCTTTATGGGCATAGTATTATTTGCTCACCTTGAAAAGATATGTCGAGGACATTAATTATATTAGGATACACATATTTATGAACTAGTTTAAAATACTTTTAAAGAGTTATTTCAAAATAGCATCTGATGTGTTGTATTCATAACCTTTGGATAACTCTGATCTAGTTGGAGAGGAAATGTTTGTGCAAGAAGATTGTGGCCTAAATTTTTACTGTGAGTAGGTTACTTTCTCAAGTTTCCTCCTCCCAAGGTTACAAACATTTTTGTTGACACTCTGCTGACATTTTTCCTTGTTGTGTACCTACACATGCATAAAATCTACATGAAGGAAAAAAACACTGATATTTGGTTGAAAAAAAATAGTTAAAACAATTGAGGAAAAGCATTAAAGAATAATATCCCTTTTTTTCTCGCACTGCTTTTAAACAATTGTTTTTAGCAAAAGTATCTCTTGTTTATGATGAAACCCAGCTTTAAATGAGTATTAACCAGATTTTTTAAGCTTTTAGCATCTGTCAAACACAGATATGATTGGTTCAGTGTGGGAATCTGTGCCATGTCCATTGTAAACCTATGTCTAAACAGTGACTGGAGTAGGTTGCTACTTCAAGTGGCAATAATTCCACCTTATTTCTCTCAAGGTAGTTTTTTATTCCTCTTTTTTTTTCTTTGGTGAAAGGATTTTATCTTTTCTGATTGTGTGGAAAATGTTACTCTGCTCTTCATTTTGGTCTCTTTTTAAAATCCCTCGTTTGAATTTTCAGTGCTTTTTTAAAACTCCTTTACGTTTGGTGCATATCTACTTTGCAGGCGGTGAATTTTCACTCGGTGTGAAGAGCTGTTTGAACTTCACTGCCTTTAGAGGTGAGTTGCTATTGCGCTCACACAGCCCCTTTCCTCCTCTCTTCTCCAAAGATACTCCAAGAAACGTTCGGGCTAAAGCGCAGCGCTGCCGCCTTTAAAAACGGCTCGGAGGGCTCGTCCCGCCCGGGGGACCCCGCGGGAGAGGTGCCGAGGAGCGGGGGAGCCAGGTCCTTGTGGGACGGGGAGCGGCAGGGAGGGACGGCGGCAAAGTGGGCAAGGGGGCCAGGGCAAGGAGATGGAGCCTGCCCGCAGGAGAGGGCGCGCAGGGTTTGCCGAGACCTCTCCGGTCCCCGCTGAGGGAGGGAGGAGGCGGCGTTGTCCAGCAAAGGTGCCGCCTTTCCCGAGCGGCTTCTCCCGGCGGGGCAGCGCCGTCTGCCCTTGCAGCTCTGGTGTCTCCTCACTTCCCCTCGGAGAAGTGAGGGGCAGAGCGGGAGCGGACGGCGCAAGATGCTGTGCCTCCCGGTCGCCTTCCAGTTGCTGCTGGTGCTGGTGCTGTGCAGCCAGGGCACAGAGAGGTGTCCTTCAGCCTTTTGCGAGTGTTCCGACTGGGATGACTACAAAATCACTTGCAGGGACATCCACTTCATTCCCAGCCTTCCGGAGGATACACAGACCCTGTGAGTACATTGGGATGGTTTAGGGGAGTCAGCTGCCGGTTGTATTCACATTTTGCAATCGGGAGATGCTCTGAGCTAATGCCCTGTGAGATAAGGGAGGGAAGTGGTGAAGGAGGGGAGTACGGTGTAGCAGGAACAGTGTGCAGACTATGTCACAAACCTCTGAGATGTGAAGAGATGATTGTCTGTTGCGCTTTAAAAGTTCTGGGTAGGATAGGGGAAAATCAGACTGAGCAGAAAGCTGCATTCTGTGTGGCATGTGCCTAGGAGGAAAGAGGAGGGAATGATAGATCAAACACAGTTTTGTAATTAAAAAAGAATAGGAATTGGATGTGCCACCTCACAAACAGCTCCATGAAAGGTTCTGTGCGCTTTCAGCTTCTTTGCCAAGACCCGACAAAAAGAGTCCGTGGGAACCGAGAATCCCAGTATACCATCTGGGTGATGAAGTACTTCAGATGAACAAAAGTGTGGAGTATGGGATAGAGCAGCAAATTTGGAGCTTGCCAAAGTGATAGAGCGATTGAAACACCTGAATCTAAGTGTTTAGTACCATTACAGGCACCATAGGATCTCTTGTCTGGGTTCCTGCTGCCAGTGTGGAAGAGTGTCTTGTGTCGTATCTGTCAGCCCCATAGAGATTTATCAGATAAATAGTCTAGGAAAACTGAAATGGCACCAGTCAACGGTAACTAAAGCATCTTTTACTTTGTCTCATAAGACACAAAATGTTTTTAGTCTCCATGGGAAGGTTAATTTGGAAGTAATTACTTTCTGATAAAATAAACAAATCTGAACTCAGTTAATTTAAACAAAAACAGGTCTTGATAATGATTCTTGGGGCTTTACTTACATATACTGAAAATATGAGCATGAAGTTATTTGAATGGGCTTCTCAAGGCTCTTTAACACCTGAAAGTAAAGGCTTACCAAATGGACCACTTACCTGAAAAGACAGAGAAAAAGTTACTTATGTTAAATTTTTTATTATTAGACTGCAGTTACACAAGTATTTCAGTTGATAAGGTTTTAAATTATACAGGTTTTAGTGTGGTTGTTACACTTTTGTATACGCAGTTCATTTAGTTTGACATTGCAGTAATGTTACTCTGTGTAATATGTAGTGTGTTCTTCAGAATCCACCATGACAGGCTAGAAAATCAAGCGGTTTCAGTTTACTGCAGAAATGTGCCTTCACACAGGCATTTAAAATAGTTAATAGAAACAATGAGATCCCATTGTGGAATTGGATACTTTCCTTGAAAAATGCTGGTATGATGGCTGAGAAGTACCTCTGGGTGCTTCACAAATCAAGCACTTTGGTTGCTGGAGTTCCAGTGTTTTAAACACCTGTAGCAGTGGGAGCTCTAAGATCACAAGCCAAAAACACCCAGTGGAAATCTGACTTCCATGGACAAGGTAATTAACAGAAACAATTGAGAAATGTTTTTATGTTTCTTTTGAGTGTATTTCAATCCTCTGTACCAACTGGGGTAACCCTTGCAGAATTGTCAAGAAGCGTCCTCCCTGCCACGGTCATTGTAAAACAAGAGAAAAATCCAAGTAATGACAATTGGGATTTTATAGTGTGTGGTAGAAAAGGCTGAACATGTGCTGTATAGTCTGTTTGATTTGAAAATAAATGGGAAAATTCTCCAAGGAAATAAGGAAAACACAGCTCTTCTCACAAAAAAGAAAATAATTAGCCTTTTTTACTTCTGTTTGCAGTTTTCTCCCTGCATAAAGTGTGTATATTTTCATTCTGTGTTATTGGAATTGCTGAGGTCTGGTGGACTGCATCTAATTCTGTAGTCGCTTGCTCTTGTCAAGTGACTTAATCTTTCCTTGCCTCCATACATTGAATGGGAGTCACAGCAGTTCCTTGTATCTGGTTTTCATTCAGAATCCTTTCAGATGGTGCAGATCGATTTACCCACACATGGAGGATAAAATAACACAAAGGGTTTTCCTGAGAGATTGAAAGGTGTGTGCTCCTCCTTCCGTCATGCTTTGCATCCTTCTGCCTTACAACTGGCAATGGTTCCGAATTGGAGAATAAAAGATCCCAAAATAATTGAAGTTTCTGTTAACCTTAAGAACAAAAGAACCCTTCTTTTGAAGTGTAATATGTAGAGTGCATATCTGCACCTTATATTTTGAAACACTCTACTATTTTCCCCAAATCCAGCAACTTTGTTACTGTAGGTAAAGTAACTTTGCTCTGGTGTGCTGATTTTAAAACTTTCTTACGTGGCTATTCAGTTTTGTAGGATTTGTAAAGCTAAGAGACTGGTGAATCTAGACTGTGCCAGCTTTTGGAGATGATGAGCTTTTTTCAGTACTCAGGACCTTGAAACTCCAATTAAAGTTTCATTCCAGTTATTCAATTTGGACTGTTCTAATTTCTCTACTCTCCTTTGAGTGGCGTAAGCCTTTGTTTTTTTTAAAAGCCATGCTTATAAGAAACTGCAAAAAAATGCTTATTTCCAAACTCTTCTCATGGAGAAGTGTCGTGAATCTCAGCCAGGAAAGCATGTGTGTTTTAAACTGGTTTTAGTGCATTTGTCCAAATATAGTTAATGCAGGTGCTTATCCAGAATGGCTGAGGGCACAGATACTGTTCTCACAGATGCTTTCTTTCAGTACAATTTTTTTTTTAATTTTTAAGTTTTGTGGAGTAAAGAGAAAAAGGTTTTGTGTATTACAAGCGAAGCTTGCCTTGTTGCCTAAAGTTAAGGATTACATACCCCTGTCATGCTATGGTAGGGACATTGAAATACAGTACTAAATAAGATGAAATTAGGTATCAATAATTTTGTCATGTCTATAATAACTTAATGCCTCTCTCTATACAGCCAACACCCAGACCATTTTACTCCTGCCTGGCCCTCCTTTCCTTCTGCTCCTGCCTGTCCTTGACTCCATTCCCAATTCATGCTGTGGCAGTGACATTATGTGCGCAGTGCCGAGGGGATCCCTGTCCCAACCCTTCAGCATCATAAGGCTTGAAGCATTGTGATACCTTTCCTGGCATCATTATGATGAAATATTCAGATGGTATTCCCAGCATCATCTCAACACAGATACCAACCCTTTTCATTTTATGAATCTGTTATCAGTTGCTTTTAATTCTTTCTTCTATGGCACTAAAATTAAAGAAGTTTTGCTTCTCATTTATTTGTGCTCTGAATTGCCTGCATTCACTCACTCAGAAGAATTTCAGCTCCCCTTTCCATCCCCAATATCCTCAATATCCTTATTTAAGTTTTCCACCACTTAAGAAAAGCCACACCATATCATTCCAATGGCTCTCATCTAATACAAAATCCCATCAGGATTTCCTTTCTCTTAATTTTCCTTGGGTATCTGCATATAGAAGTCATACATGGTACTCCTCATGGAGAGTGTCTCAGCTTACAATTATTTTTACCTGCAGGAAGTGTCTAAACTCGGTGTGGTTTTGTCATTTTAGTAACCCTCAAAGGATTGTTCTGCGTCTCTTGAGTTTCATCTCTGTGCCTCATTCAGTTGTTTCTTGAGCCCATTTCAATATACATAATATCCCGTGGCAATAAGTTCCACAAGTTTAATAGAAGTTGCAAGAACTCATTTTTGTTGTTATTGAAAATGCCACATTGTCCTGCCATCAGCAGCTTGTGTGCACCACATTTTCAAGCCCATGTTATTTCCCTTAAGCCTGCTGACAATATTCTCATCTCCTCCCTATACTGTCTGTAGCAAGCCAACAGTAGTGTCCTGTGTTCTCTCCTATAAACTCAAAGCAGCCTAAACCCCATACATACATATATATATGTGTGTGTGTGTGTGTGTGTATATATATACATGTGTATATATATATATGACTGGATAGAAGGCAGCACATACTGAGTTCTGAGCTGTGTGAGTGCTGAATGGTTCACATCACCACAGTCAAATTTGGTTGCAATTGGACAAGAGGAAGTTAACGGGCAGAGTGGAACTAACTAACAGATAAATAGACATAAGATGAGCAGAGTCTTTAAGGATATAGACTTTACATGAGGTATTAAGCTATGCATCTGCTCCAGGACATTGGCCGTAGGTAGGACATTGCTCTTTGATAAATGCAAGGTAGCTCACCCTTCAGGGACAAGGAGCCCCAACATATATTGTTTTCACTATGTAGGTAAGGGTGGGCATGTGGATACCAGGATAACAAGATGTAGTGAATCAGCTGGTCTGTTTCGTTCCCCATGCTGTTGTCAGCTTTTGATGAAAGAGATCTAATTTACACATTTACAACATGATATTTAGGGCTAGCAATGATATGTCAAATATTCCTTAATACTTACTGCTAAAAGTGTTATTTTGAACTGGAGAACAAAATATGTAGGGATTTAGGTTTTACCTGTGATAACTGAATCACTTACATCCACATTTTTCATAAACTTAATGAATAGTTTAGAGCTTTTTCAGTTTACAGAAGATAGAAGGAAAACTGAAGGAGATGGTTTCTCTACTTTATATTGAAAAGAAATCAAACTAATTTGAAATATTTTCCCCAAAATCTTTGTCTTAGGAAATGTCTGAAATTCAGAGATATTCTGAGTTCAAGTCCATAATCTTTTTATAGACTTCATTACTTCAGAATTAATTATGGAGCCTCATAAATACATCTTCATAAATGACCTTGCAACATAAGCACATAATTATTATCCCTATTTTAATGATGAAGTACTGAGAATCTAAAAGAACAGGAAAACACTGACATGGTTAAACAGCCGACTGAAGGAAGCTATTAGACATCCTTCATGTCCAAATCAGGACATTTTGGGGAACTTGAAGAAATACAGCACAAAAATATAAGAGAAACTTAGAATATCATAAAAACTCAGTGTAGTCTTTAAAACACCAAAGAGGATAAGAGCTTCTATCAAACTGGTGTCCATATGAAGCTTGTTTGAAATGAATTGAAAAATGGAATAGAATTAGATCCTCTGAGCCAGATGGTACCCGTGTAA